CTAGTGTTACTAGTGCTACTAGTGGCACTAGTGATACTAGTTTACCAGTTGCAGTGGTGCTACTAGTAAAACTAGTGACACAAGTAGTATTACTGCAATTGGTAAACACCACCACTGCATTGGTGCACTATTGGTGCATTGGTGCACTATTGGTGCATTGTGTTATTTACTGTACAATAACGACACTTTGCTCCATAAGTTCTGACAATGGTTGGTACAGTTGACTTCAGGACCATCCTGAGCACTCCCTCACTCATTATCAAACATTTTTACTGTATCATTTTTGAGAAATTAAGCCTTAAAGTTGTCTCTTTTCTTCTTTTTTTCTAATACTCTATTTTTACTGTACAGTAACATCACTTTGGCCCCATATAGAAATGTACATTTAGAGTTCCCTTTTTTTTGCCAAGCAAAAGGTCTTATGCTCAATATTTACGCTACTGTAAAAGCGCTTTGATCAATAATTTCTGACAATGGTTGATAGAGCCGTCCTCAGCACTGTCCTGACTACTCAGTGACTCATTATCAAGCATTTTTACAGTATGATTTTAAAGAAATTTAGCTATAAAGTTCCATCTTTACATAGAAAAAGGCCTTATGCTCGGTATTTATTCTAATTTAGAGGCTTAATTTCTCAAAAATGATACAGTAAAAATGTTTGATAATGATTGAGGGAGTAGTCAGGATGGTCCTGAGGTCAACTGTACCAACCATTGTCAGAACTTATGGGCCAAAGTGATGTTACAGTACAGTAAAAATGGAGTATTAGACCTTTTTCGGTGTGAAACAAACACAGGTATGTATTACCATCGTCGTATTTTGAAAACCGGAAGTTATCTCGCTCGGTTCTAAACTAGCGCTAGCTTTCTCAGTGGACTCCGAGCATTCGCCGTAAGCTCGATGATATGGGCGCACTTAAAATGTTGGTGCGGCTGGCTTGACTCCGGTAAGACGAACGACGGCTCACTTGACCGCAGTATTTTTTAACAGATATTGCACAAACTATACACTGAAAATAAGTGATTTTTCATATGCTGTTGAATTTGTTTTTATACTAAGTTATTATTGATCAATATCATTTATTATTTGTTTATTATTTCCACAATAAACATGATGTGCATTTTTACCATGGTACCATGTCGGGGTGCAACTAGGGGTGTACCGCCTAGCCGCCTAGCCGCACCCCCCGCACAGCACAGACATAAAACAGAAACACAGTTTCCACATTTAATAGCCTATGTCCTCCTGGATGTAGACTAAGGGACCCTGTCGGGGTTTATTTCTCCACAACAACCGACTGACATTATCCCGCTTATCGAACGGCCTACGAGTGAAATAATTAATTTGATACATAATGGTGATCAAAATAGGACTTTTATCGATTTATAAATGGCATAGCCTAGGCTACAATTGTATTCATTCAGCGTAACTGCAGGTCCGGTCACTTTTCCACTGTTCTGATCCTGGCTGTTTTGAGATAGCACGTAGGCCTACCCTAATGCTGTCAATGTTCACAGTGCAACACCTGCTGGGCATTTTTTTTTTTAAATCTCCACTTTTGATATAACATTGAAGTTTCTCATAATTGAGAGCAGACTCCACAGTGCATGGTAACTGAAGAAAACTTTCTTTTTCAAAATAGTCATGGTGAGTTATGATATCAGCTGCATATTCATATTTCTTCTTTTTTGAATTTATTTATTTATTTAGGCTATTATTTATTTGTTTATTTTTAAATCAAACTGTTAAAGATCTGCTTGATTTTCATCTGTGCACTATATTTACAGCATGAACTCATTAAATTAATTGCATTTTATAATAACACAATAAAATAAATGTACACATCTCCTGCAACCACTGCTGCTCAAAGTCAATATCCAGAGCTGGCACTTTAAGGCTTTTCAGCACTCATTTGAATACTGACCAATAAAAGTCTTTATCCCGCCTATTTAATTTGCATGCAGTTTACTAGTGGAACATGTTGACTTCTAAGTGGCACCTGCAACTCTACTGGCTGTGTGTTGCATTTAACATGTTAACTAGTGATGGTAGTGACAACATTTTAAACTTCATCTGTAAACTAGTGGGGTTCAAAAAGTTCCACTAGTCGACTAGTAAGACGCATAATGTCTACTAGTTATGCTAGTGGGTGTCTTTTTCCTAACTTGTCAACTAGTGAAGTTCAAGAACTGCCACTAGTCGACTAGTAAGACCCAAATTGGCCACTAGTAACACTAGTTGGTGTCTTTTCGACTTCACTAGTCAACTAGTTACACATGTCCTCTTACTAGTTAACATGTTAGGTCCAAAAAGATTCACTAGTTGACTAGTGACACTCTTTCCGTGGCTCACTAGTTAACTAGTGGATGCTATTTGTTGTCACTAGTCAGATTCTGCACTGAACATGTAAAGACTTTGACCAAACCTGTTGGAAGTTTTTCTTACATGTAAGGCTATTCCTTGAACTAGTAACGGTTTGCTCAGCACTAGTGGGCAACTGTGCACAGCAAGTGAGACATTTCTTTTACATGTGAGACTTTTTGTCGCACTAGTTGACATCTTCACCACACAAGTAGATATCCTCATCTTACTAGTACAACAAAGCTGCTTACTAGTTAACATGTGCATGTCACTAGTTAACTAGTGAATGCTGCTACTGCCATACATGTTAAACAAGTGAAATTTTATCACAGTACTAGTTGTACTAGTAGGATGAACATGATGACTAGTAAGCAGCTTTGTTGAACTAGTAATATGAACATGCCAACTAGTGTGATGAAGATGTCAACTAGTGCGACAAAAAGTCCAACATGTTAAAAAAATGCCTCACTTGCTGTGCGCAGTTGTTCACTAGTACTGAGCAAGGCTTTACTAGTTCAAGGAAAGGCATCACGTCTAAGAAGAATGTCCAACATGTTTGGTCAAAGCCTTTACATGTTCTGTGCAGAATCTGACTAGTGACAACAAATAGCATCCACTAGTTAACTAGTGAGCCACGGAAAGAGTGTCACTAGTTAACTAGTGAATCTTTTTGGACCTAACTTGTTAACTAGTAAGAGGACATGTGTAACTAGTTGACTAGTGAAGTCGAAAAGACACAAACTAGTGTTACTAGTGGCCAATTTTGTCTTACTAGTCGACTAGTGGCAGGTTTTGAACCACAATAGTCGACTAGTAAGGTCAAATTGTCTTCTACTTGTGTAACTAGAAAACGTTTTGGATTCTACTAGTCACCTAGTGAGCACTTTTAGCATCACTAGTTTGTTAGTAGAGTCTAACGAGACCTCAGCTAGTTGACTAGTCACAGTTTTGCCTTGACAAGTTAACATGTAAGATGAAGCATGCTGCCACTAGTTAACTAGTTGCATTCCTCAGCTCAACATGTTAACTAGTTAAAAGAAGTGGGTGGAGTAACGACAAAATCCTGTGTCCTGATTCGTAGGTATCTTTTATTTTGAACTGGAGAGCAAATAGGAAGCCTGTCACTAGTGTGACTAGTGCACATTTTGGCTTCCACTAGTACAACTAGTAACGTGTTTTGCCTCACTAGTTAACTAGAAAAGTCAAAATACACTTCAACTAGTAAGCATGTCAGCGTCACTAGTTCAACTAGTAAACATTTTAGATCTCACTAGTTAACTAGTGAGCTCAATAAGGTGTTACTAGTATAACTAGTGAGTATTTCAGCTTCCACTAGTTCAACTAGTAAACATTTTAAGCCCCACTAGTTAACTAGTAAGGTCAATGAGACTTTTTCTAGTTTAACTAGTAAGGTGTAAATCCTTACTAGTCACACTAGTGATGATTTTGGCTCTTACATGTGTAACTAGTGTAAAAAACTTGAGGTTACTAGCAAACTAGTGAGGCGAATAGCTGCTACTAGTTAACAAGTCAGAGCTTTTGCAGCTCACTAGTTCACTAGTAAGACTTTAAGCATTACTAGTTCAGCCCAGTGGGCCACTAGTCTGTCAAAAAGCTGACTAGTTTGGATTTTGGTGCCACTAGTATGGCTCTGTGGCTTCACTAGTCAGGCTTAAGTTGTTACTAGTTTGACAAAAGTGTCACTAGTTGCTGAAAAAGAGTGACTAGTAAGACTCTTTGTTCAACTAGTTGGACAAAATGTCTAACTAGTGTGACCAGATGTCCAACTAGTGCTGACAATGATCGAACTAGTGAACGACACTGACACCTGATATCAAGGATATGGAATAAATGCTCAAACGGCTTGCCATACACAGCGGCCCGGGTTCGACTCCACCTGTGGCCCTTTGCTGCATGTCTCTCCCTCTCTCTCCCCCTTTCAAACTTCACTTCAATGAATGAAAGAATGTTTAAAAGAAATGGACCAAACTACAGCGACATCACCCACTGGGTTGTGGACTCAACATGGCCATTTTAAAATCCAACATAGTATACAGGTTATTCTTCTCACATAAGTCACGGCTTCAAACAAGATAGGTCTTTTTTTTGATGATATTAGGTATTGCAAAACCCATTACTTTATATAGTCCACAAAGGCTAGTTTTTAGAGTCGGAAACATCAGAATATAATACCAGTATTACAAAATCAAAACATGCATTTTTCATATGAGTCTTTCTTTACTTTATGCATACAGTACCGTTCGTTTACTCCAAACACTGTATCTCCACAGAGCTAAATAATAACACTCCTACTTACCAACGCACGTACTGTTTGCAATACTGGAACTTCCAGAAGTCACATACAGTGTCCTTCGTGCACACAGCATATTTGTTCAGTATTTGTAGAAATGTCTTTAAAAATGATCTTACTTGTAATACCAAAAATTTTCAGGAAACTGGGCACAGGTTTCTAATTTATTGTGCTGGACTAATTTTGGATATTACTGTATGTATTTTTCTCTTCTAGAGAAGAACACTTTTCTCCAGAAAAGCTGGCTTGAATCTTCCTCTCAGCACATTAAAAACAAATAAAGACATAGACTTTGCTCTCATCATACATACAGAGGCACAAAACAGACTGAGGGAAGATATATGTTTTATTAAAATGACCACACACAGCACTAAAGTATAGACACTGCATCAGGAGAACATCACTGGTCTAACTATTTACTTTGATTAATCATTTACATGTTTGTCCAGCCAGCTCATGTTTATCATATCCAGTTGACTAAAAAGCTTTACTGGCAAGTGGGAAGGTGCATCACACCATCAACACACTTCTGACGCAGGCCATATCTACCAACAAGTGTTCTTCGTCTTGTACACATGAACTCGATTTCATCATTATGGGCTGAATACAGCTTATCGTCATATATAAATCTGAAGGCAATATTATGTACGTTCATGGCGTCTCTGTCCACAGTGCAGGGTTCTGGAAGAGATAAAAGATGAGCAGCATTTTATTAATGGGGAATGACTGCAGCATACTGCGTATTTGATTATTGCTCGTGTTGCTGAATCTTCACAGAATGCAACATGGAAAATATAAAGGGAGTTGTAACTCACTGAGGCATCTCATCTGTCCAGTCCATTCACCATTGATGCAGGTTTTGTAAGGCTGACCCTCCATAGTGTAGAAATTCTCACAGATGTATTCAACCCTGTCATTATGTCTGTACTGGAACTGAAGAGATGTCTTGATGTCTCCATCTAGAAGTGATGGTGGTTTACCACAACCCAAAGGAGCTAAAAGAATTTAAACAACCACAAAAATACAAACAAATGAGTCATTTCCATAGAAGCCTGTATATGTATACACTGCCAGTTTATTAGGTACACCTAGCCAAAACTAATACAGTCTAATAAAACAGCTCTGCAGTCAGTCCCACCTTCATGACGGCTTTAATGTTCAGGTCTTTTCGGACCGCTTCTCAAAGGTATTAATTCAACTATATGATAAGGCTGAATAGATGTTAGTCATTTTTATGAAACTTGAAACGCTAATTATAACACTATACGTGTACTATATACTACAGTGCATGTTGGGAAACATCCAACAGTTGGGTCATGGATAATAATTTCTTATTTTTTCCCTTGATAAGCAGCAAGGGGACAGGAAAAGAATTGATTTACCTCCGCATGTTGGGAAGGGATCACTCCACTGTCCATCTGCTAAACATGTGACCACTGCTTTCCCTTGAAGAAAGTCTCCACGCCTCCTGCACTGAAAGGTTAACTTTTCTCCTTTTCTTAGTTGATTTACTCGTACACGTTCGATGAGGAGAACGCTGCCTGATACACCTGTGACTTTGCAATTTTCTGTATTGAAGAAGAGACACTTCTTTAATCATTAACGTTTATACAGTATAAACAGTAGCATATTAGACTTGAAGCTACAGTTGTGAGCTCTTATGAAAATAGTGTTTTGAACATACTGAAAGAAGTACATGAGACAGATTGCTCTTCCTACTGTACTGCTTCTAATGGCATTTGTTAGAACTGACCACAATGCAGCAAAAACAACCAGTCAGAGCTGAAGAATTCTTAACGCAACTGTCAGTCATGTCAATCCCAGCTCGCAAACTGTGGTCAAACAGTCAAACTAGGCAGCGCTGACTATGAATCAAGATTCTGTTACTGCATTGCCTCTTTCTCACCTCAGATAATTTCCTAACATATTTTAGTGCACTGTTTAACTCTAAAATGAGAAACTTTGTGACCTGGCTGTCATGTTGAGAGTTGACCGAACTACCAGGCACCAATCACTGGCCGGACCAACTTTCACATTTGCAGCTAAACAGCACAGTAAAATATATTTTTGAAAACATTTGACAGGATTCATATCTGGATTCATATTTGATGTTTGACACGAGTGACGTGACTCCTCTGCTCTGATTGGTTGTTTTCGTTTACGTGCAGTGAGGCCATTAGAAGCGCTACAAGGCAGAGTCATGCTGCAGGGATAAATTTTTGTAGGCTGATGTGGAAGTTAACATTGCCTTGGTTGCCTTGAAAAAAGCCTGTGGGATTTTCCCATGTGTGAGGGGGCTGCTGTTTTCAGCGAAAAAGCTTTAAAAAGCAACTGTTACTGGGTGGTGAACTTAAGCCCCGTTTCCACTGAGCAGTACGGTACAGTTCAGTTCAGTTCGGTAAGCTTTTTTTCCAGTTCCACTGTGAAAAGTTGTGGATGGTACTAATGGAACTGTTTTGTACCGTTCCCATTTTTTGGTACCCCTTCTGTTGCTGTACCTAGCACATAGATCTGGTACTAAAAGGTGGAGCTGTGAACACTGCAGTTCGTTGATAAGACAAGAGCAGATGGTCACTGTGCTCAGGGCTGAGTTGTGGCTGATTTTGAGACTCATGTAACTACTATTCATACAACGGAGCGTTTTATTAGTAGACTCTAACTATAAAATGAAAGGATGTTTTGCTGCCTCTTGCAGCAGCTGCATTCGGAGAAATAGTAGCTTAATTCACTGGGCTGACTGCTGGCAACTTTTAAGGCGGAATGTTAACTTGTAATGTTACTCAATGCTGGAGGTGATGACGTGAATCAATCAACACACTTAAATGTCACTCTGACAACTCTGACTATCACTTTAGTTTTTATATGACATACGCTTTTAGTAATGAGTGGATCTTCAAGCGTTAATTTCAACTGGGTTATGTGAACTGCATATATTCTAATCCTCCAAAAAAGCGCTGTGGAGCATCGCTCCGAGGGCTGTGGCAACACTAAACCCCAGAGCTTGCCTGAAAAGGACTAAATGCACAAACCAACTGTTTTTAAATATCCCATGGAGAGAGACTCTCACTGCAGCCTGTTTGATTTTGTTCTGAAAACGTTGGCGTGCAACCCCTTTCTGTGGACAATAAACGAGGTGCAGACTTCCATCTGTGTCACTGATAATGAGGAAATGCAGTGAGTGCTGGAGAGAGCAGTAAGTGACAGCAACCTTATTTAAGAGTACTGTTTCTGGTGGAAATGCTAGAGACTAAGTGCCATGTCTGAGGCCTTACTTTTGGTTCCAAAGGTACCATACCAAAAGTGTTTGATGGAAACAGGGCTATTCTGGAGCCATAGTTCTTTAGCTTTATCAGCTAAAGAGAAAGAAAATGTTCTCATGAGCTGGTGGAGCCCAAAATCCAAGCTAAAAGGAGAGTAAATATTTGACCTCCATTTGCCAGGTGTCCAGAAACATGACTTCAGATGAATGCTGATCTGCTCTATATCTGCTGCATGTGTATGGGGGGAATTTTGATAAAAATGCCTTTAATGTTCAACTGTAGCATGTCACGCTAGCTTGATGTGACGTTTGATGTGCTCCATGCATTAACATCCATCTCCTGTGTCTCTATTCAACCATAAAATATTTAGATTCTGTCCTCATCTAATAAATTACCATTCATTATTTCTGTCTTCTATGAGTTGCACTGTTCAATCACTATTCAAGTTTTTATAAAAGGATGGGTAATATAAAAAAAGCAAATAAAGCACTGAGTGAAATCAGCGTAAATGGAGCCTTCAAAGAAAGTGAATTTACCAGCGCAAGTTGGAAAGGCTGCACTCCACTGCCCAGTTTGGACACATTCACTTTCTGCAGACCCCTCCATTGTATATTGATCATCACAGCTAAACTGTAATTTATGTCCAATCTTCATTGTTTCATTTGCTGGTGGTAGTCCAGCTACAATGAGATGAGGGAGCATCACGCCAGCCTCACAAGTGATGTCTGGAAAGAATAAAACAGATGTTATCAAATGAAAAACAATGAATCTTTGTCTTTGTTGTTAAAGGGTTTACCTTCACAAGAGGGGAATGGATTATCCCACTGTCCGTCTTTACCACATGTCAGCACTGAACTGCCATTCAGATATTTCCCAGGATCATCACAGCTGAATGTGAGAAGGATGTCAGGAAGTATGGGATCGTCATTTTCTGGTAAACCTTTTACTATCACACCTGCATCTGCAGGTGGGGGGGTACAGTTTGGACCTGAAACTAAACACAAACAGTCAGTCAAGTCACTGAAGGGAAAAAAAAAAAGCCGAACAAGGCAAGATTTTGATGTGTGATGTTACACTAAGATGGTGTAGAATGGGTTGATTTTTCCACTAGGGATACAGCTCTATGGTTCGGCTAGCTCTGTGTATTTTGTCAGTTTTTGTATTTTTAACAAGTATTTCTTACGTCACAGAAAACACTGAAATTGAATCTTGTGTGTTGGATGTTATTATCATGCTGTCTGTGATGTGTCAGTGTTTTGTTCAATTGACCTATGTCTAAGTCCCGCCCTGTAGCAACTCATAATGTAATAATGGCTCATAATGTAATAACAGAAATGTAATAAAAGTTCATAATGTAATAACCAGCTCATAATGTAATAAAATCATGAGCGTATAATGTAATAACAGCTTTGTGCCTAATGTAATAATGTAATAACTTATTACATTATGAGCCTTACTGGCGCTGCTCATAATGTAATAACAGCTCATAATGTAATAATGGCTCATAATGTAATAACAGCTCATAATGTAATAATGGCTCATATTGTGAGAAAAAGTGTTGCACTATTATCATTTTTAGGTCAAAACTGCACACACTGACAACGAGAGTGCACTTAAGGGCAGAGGTCTGTGTTTGTGTTTGACTATGATTTGTTTATAGATGGTGCGACAGTAATCAACTCAAAAGCCAGCTGGAGAAGAGGGTGGATTAGGGAAGAAGGAGGGGGACTGTAGTTCATGTAGTTTAAAAGAGCATTTCCTTTGTTTACTATTGCTACAATAAATGCAGGACACAATAACTTCTACAATAAAAACACATTTAAGATTGGGCTTTTCAAATAAGTAAGTGAACACTCTCTCCTTCCATACAACCTAGTGAAGACCTTCCAGTCAAAATGTTACATATTGTTGGTTTTAATGCCAATTTAATAAAGACTTTTAATAAGCATTGTTTTCCTACTACTCACGTTAAATACATGATAGCAGCGTAACATATTCATTCAATTTACTTTATTTAGGAACTTGTGCAAGAATGAGAAGAGCGTTTTTGACTGGTCCATGTAATAACAATGGATCAGCTCAAAAGTTCTTAAAATGTAGACACAGCCTGTCAGGACACCCAAGTAAAAACAGAAGTCCAAATAAATTTAACTAAACAATATGCATAAATAATACATAACCATAAATCATATTTGCCAACAAAAATCAAGTCCAGGGTGCTCCATTTGTCAGTGACTATTCTAGTGTTCACTCAGATCAAGGTTTAACAAGTGAATGGGATTTTAAAAAAGAAGAATACTTTACTTCTTCCAATGAATGTCTTTAATATGGACCCATCCAAAGGATATATGTTTAGTCACGATCCAGGCTGTAATCCACCTGGCATTTTGGCTGAAGAGCTGCCTGATATTGGACGCAAGGCCACTATTGCGTCCAGCCACTCTGTATAACCTACTAATGCTTGCAGCAGTCTTCATCCGTCATAATATTTAAACTTTCCACCAACTGCTTACCTGGAACAATCAGACAGTGGAAGTGAGCATGGCATTCTCGAAGGCCCAAAATACCTAACACAGGTGCCACCTAGTGGCTCAACTTTATACATCTTACATAATAAAATGTGAGAATGCAATTACGATTAAATAATTCTTGGTTTCACCAATTTAGTAAGCTAGTAAGGCTCATAATGTAATAGGTTATTACATTATTACATTAATGCGCAAAGCCGGTATTACGTTATGTGCTCATGATTTTATTACATTATGAGCTGATTATTACATTATGAACTTTTAAAACATTTAAGTTATTACATTATGAAGTGTTATTACATTATGAGCCATTATTACATTATGAGTTGCTACACGCCCTCAAACGCGATGAGCCAATCACAGTGCATATAGCCATTCCCATACTCTCAGACATTCTCTGCCTGGACGTTCATTGAAATGCATTACAGAAAAGTCAGTTAGTTCAGTTTCTTGAGCTTTTTCAGAGATTTGAAGTTTAAAAATGGTCAAACGGTGTGCATGGGGTACATGCAACTCTGACACAAGGTATCCTGAAGAGACTGCTAGAAAACGAAAACTCTGCATCATTGTCGGTTTTTCAGTTACTCTGAAAGTTTTTCACACATTTCCAAATGATTGCATGCATATTGTTGTTGTCTTCTTCAGCTTTGTTTTCTTTTTACACTTATTTTTATTCTTTTTAAAGTTAATAAACAAAAACAAGACAGAAACATCAGAGGCCTGTTGTTCGAAAGTAGAATTAACCAATCCAGGATAAGGGGAAAAGCGAGGCTGGACAAATTCCCCTAAGTCCATCCTGGGTTAGGGTTAGGTACATACAAGGTACATTATTCCAGTATCATTTTATTCATTCATTAATCAACCATTGGTGTTATGTGGACTGTCTGACTTTGGATTGTCTTGCAGTGTAAGACAAATTGACAAATTAAAAGAAAAACCTTAAGGAAACTGGACTTAGAAATTAAGAAACTACAGAAAGAAGTAAGTGATTTTAATGCACACTGTAAGCATGACTGTGATGCAATGTATTAATCAATGTTATTTCTTTCTTTCTCTCCACAGCTCAAAGCAGACAGTGACTGATTTTAGTATTTTTCATTTAAATAAAATGAGGTCAAACAATTTTGTGGTTTTATCTTCATGTTTTCATTCATTGATGTAAAGAACACTGGAGTTATTGGTCCAGTTAACTGGGAATATAATTTGGGAAGGTCATACAGTTATAATACCTAACCACTAATTGTGTATATGCCAAATACACCTACTTGTATGTTTATTCCAACAATTAATCCTTTTATTGGTAAAGATATGTGCATGTCAAAGTATGCTTGGGCTATGACAAAAATAATGTTTTAAATGTTAAATGTTTTTTTTTTATTATTATTGTAGGCTTAATGTATTTTGTTCAAAAATGAGGCAAATACGTAGGCTACATAAGAACATGAAATGACGGTAAAACACATTGATTTCCGATCGCATTGACAGCTGACTGGACAGATAAGGCACCAGGCTAAACGAAACCTGGTTGTTAGCCTGGTCGGGACCAGGCTAAGTGCACAGAATAAATATCCATGGCAACATGTGTGCCTCTGCTTTCGAACAACCGAATCAACGCTTGGTTATCCTGGCTTAATTTAGCGTTGATTCGGTTGTTCGAAAGCAGAGGCACACATGTT